TTGGTGAAAGCAAGCGCTTGTGGGGGAGGGAGAGTGAGATTGGGGGAGGGGCAGAGAGAGAGGGAGACATCCGACAGTTGAGAGCTCAATGCAGGGCTCTTGAGCTGAAGTTGGACACTTACCTGACTGAGCCACCCAGGCACCCCAAGGTGTTCTATTTTTTAAATCCGAGAAACGTGTCTGTTTTAGAGAGATTTCCTTACAAAAAAGCTTAAGTTGTTTAGAAGTTCCAGAAACTGATGTGTGAGGAATGGTTCTTTGCAGACTCATATATAATGATGCACAGAGATGGGTAGTGTGATACAGAGTTTGCAGTGGGTGTCCATCGAGTCAGAAATAATACAAATAAAGAACGCACAGCCTCTGTATACCCCAGGTTGTTTGCAGAAGGGCTAATTAACACAGTAGTACAGATGCGTACTTGGCCATCTGGGAAAACTAAGGAGCTGGAACTAGCTGGGAAGGGGGGGGGGGGTCGCTGGCAATGACAGAGGTGGAGTGTGTGGCCCAGTAGAATTGTTGGGGGATGATGAGTTTTGTTTGTGTTTTTGGTCATTTTCCAGTTACCTACTGGCCTACTTTATGAAATTATTAAAAGATCTGGGTGGACACTGTCTTGAATATAAGCTTGTTTTGGGTATACGTCAGTTAAAAAACAAAGGCAGGGCGCCTGGGTGGCTCAGCCACGTGTCTGACTCTTGATTTTGACTCAGGTCATGATCTCAGGATTTGTGGGCTTGAGCCCCGCATCAGGCTCTGCACGATTCTGTCTCCCTACCTCCCGTTGAATACACTTTCTCTCTCTCTCTCAAAATAAATAAACTTAAAAAAATGAAAAAAAAAAAAAAGAAAGGCAAAAATACACCAGGAAACAAAGATATGAAAAAGCAGTTCAGAGAATATGGAATACACCAATAAACATACGAAAAGATGCTTGATGTCACTCGGATTAAGGGAAATGCATATTAAATTCAGATTTTTTGTGTGTGTGCTTTGTATTGGCAAAAATTAAAAGGATAGTTGATATCCAATGCTGGCAAAGTTGTGGAGAAATCGGACTTTCTCCATTGCTATTAAAATTTTTAGGCTGCTTTTGGAGGGTAGTCTGTAATATCTGTCAAAATTTAATATGCTCTATCCTTTGACTCAGCCATTATAGTTTTACCGTCTGTTCTACAGAAAGACTTATACAGGCTACCAAAGGTGTATTTACTAGGATATTTTAAAAGCATTTATTGAGAAGTGTCTTGGTAATAATAAAAAAGTGAAAACAACCTATATTTTAATCAGTACAGAAGTAGTTAAATTATGATACATCCATACAATGGAATTCTGTGCAGTCTTTGAAAAGAATAAGGTAGGGTGAGGTGAAGTGACAACAAAATTTCTAGGGCTAAAGTGGAAAAAAATACAGAGCAGTTCATACTGTATAATCCCATTAATGAACAAATAACATCGAACTGTACCAGAGTAAATGTGTTATATGTGTATGTAAATACACAGAAACAGATGAGAGAATCCCCTCCAAGCTGGTAACTGTGTTTGGGAAGGAGAGCGGGGCCAGAAATGGTAGTCGGTGATAGTGTTGAACACCATTTACCCAGAATAGCCAGTATCTGACCTATTCAGGATGAGCAATATTTCTGGAGTTCAAACATCTAAAATTATAAAAAATCAGCGATAAAAAATAAATAGTATAAATGAAAAAGTAGTAAATAGTTGTTACCATAAATACAGTGAATTCATTTTACTTACTAACTTTTGCATAGAAAACCAGAATTTGCAAATATACACATCTGTTAAAAAGACAGAGAAAAGTATCTGGCAATGACAAAAATTAAAATAGGAAATTTTATTTATTTATTTTTTAAGTTTATTTATTTTGAGAGAGAGAGAGAAGGCCCCGGGAAAATTGAGAAGGCCTTGGCGCTTTCACAAACAAAGGAGGGAAAAAAAGAGAAGAGCCATGGGCTCAGTGCCATCATGAGGCTTGAACACTCACAAACTGGGAGAGCATGAGCTTGACCTGAGCCAAAATCAAGAGTGGGACGCTTAACTGACTGCACCACCCAGACACCCCTAAAAATAGGATATTTTAAACTTTTTTTTTTTTTTTAAAGAGAGGGAGCACAAGCAGTGGAGAGGGTCAGAGGGAGAGAAACAGAGAGAGAATCTCAAGCAGGCTTCACACCCGGTGCAGAGCCTGTCTGGGCTTGATCCTGGGACCCTGGGATCATGACCTGAGCCAAAGCCAAGAGTTGGACGCTCAACCAACTGAGCACCCAGGCACCCCTAAAATAGGAGATTTTGTCAGGAAATCACTGTTGGTCTGCTGAAATTATAGAGGCAGTGTTGGTCCGATTTGTTTATAGTTGAGGACAATAGATCAGCTATTTTGAAAAGCTCTGCCAGGGTTTGTGCTACACCTTTCCCTTCCACATTTTCTAGGACCCTCCCATCAGTAGTAAATGAGCTTTGTTCCTTAAAATGTATGCAATATGGGGGGCATGCATCGGGCTGTGCACTGGGTGTGGAATCTGCTTGAGATTCTCTCTCTCCCTCTCTCTCTTTCTCTCTGCTCCCCCCACCCCCACTCTTGGGCTTGCTCTCTCTCTCTCTCTAAAAAAAAAAAAAAAAAAAAGTACACAATTTAAAAAGGCCTCTGATGGAGTATCTTTGGTTCATCATTTACAGTTCAACTCCTCCTGCATGATTTGCAGGAGTTGGGCTGCTGTGACCTCACCGCTTGGTTACTGTAGCCTGTGGCTCACACCATCACTGGGAGCCCCAGCACAGTGGCAAATGATTTGGTAATTCCACTAGGGCTATATACGGCATTGAAATTTACTTGCATGATAGACTTTTGTAAGTACAAAGGAAGTTTATAAGTATCTATAACATGTTGCTGACACCATCATCCAATAACACCATCGGATACATAATCTTACAAACTACATGCCTTCTTTTATGATAATTCTTACCCTTTTTCTATTTCTAGGAAATTACTTCAGAAAAGATGCCATCTATTCCCATAAAAATTGCCGGTATGATACCAAAAACATCGTGATGTTTGTAGCTCGAGTCCTGGTTGGAGATTTTACTCAAGGAGCTGTGGGAAGCATAAGCCCTCCTCCACCACCATATGACAGCTATGTGGATGCAAGGTTGAATCCCTCCGTGTTTGTCATCTTCGAGAAAGATCAGATTTACCCAGAATATGTGATTGAATATACTGAACTAGACAAAGCCTGCGTGATTAGTTAGAAATGATGACTACAGCGTCATAAAGGAGGCCATAACCATTCTGTTCATTACAGAGCCAGATTGCCCCAGATAGTAAACTTGTACATTTCCTCATGTAGTTATCAAATTGCCTTAGATCAATGGTTCCCCAATTTTGTTAACACATTTGAATCATCTGGGAAGCCTTCTAGCAATCCCAATGTTCAGACTGCATCCCATTCCAACTAAAACACTGTTTCTGCTGTGAGAGCTGGGCAATGGTACTTCTAACTCCCAAGGATTCAAATGCGTCCTAAAGTTTGGGAACCACTGTCTTAGATGTAGCTGGGAACGACTGACTTCTAAAACTGCTGTCACTGCTATAAGTTTCTCTCCCAGCTACTCTTCGTTTATTGTACGCAATGGTTTTGTTTTGGTTAAATTGCAAGAAAATTAACTTGGGCAATTTGAGAGGAATCTAAAAACGCCTTTTGATGTAAAGACGTAAGACAGTACTGCCTTTGGATGGAAGACTGGAAAGTTGGAGGGGGAGGCGTATTTTTTGGAAAATGCTGGGGAGGGGGGAAGAAAAGGTAACTTAAATGGTATTATAGCTGTAACTGCAGTATTGTATCTTCGTAGTAAATCTGAGTTGGGGCATATATTTCTTTATCTGCGTTTATTTAGGGGACTCCATCCAGGTTGACTCTCTGGAATGCAATAAAAAGAGCCACAAAGTATGGCTCAGAGAGAAGCAACCAACTGGAGTTTACTGCCCAATTTGGGGCTTTTTATATATATGATTATAGAGAAGGTTTTTCAGGTTGGACTTTCATGAAGTAGTTGTATTTTGGGGGGATATGAGTCACGGTAACCAGATTCACACAAATATTACTGATAAACCTGAGTGCTATTTGTAGTCGTTCGGTGTAGCAGATGAGACTCACCAAGGAATTAGGAGCCGGGCCATCCCTACTGGAGGGTGGGCCCCTTAAGGAGGCGAGATGTGTTTCCTGGTGAGCGCGGAGTCAGAACAAAGAAAACGCCTCAAACAGGCCTTGCACCTGCAAGGGGCTTTTTTCTACATATAACGGATTGTTTGCAAGTGTAAGTACAGTTTTAAAGCAGTTGAGGGTCCTAGACCAAGAGTTCCTTCCTTACAACGAATCAGGTTTTTCCTTTCAGTTTTCCCTTTCAACATTGTGTAACATTCATTCGCCAAAGTTTCCTGTTACAGTTCCTTCTAGCAGACAGATTATAAAAGTTAATTAACATTAGAGTTGATTTTGTATTAGTCAGATTGTAGATCAGTACAGACATCTGCACAACCCCTTGGTTTCAAGGACTCCACCAGTAACATGTATAGAGATTTTTTTAGGGCAGGGTTATTTTCTGGGAGGCTTGCCACAAATAATTACTCTAATGCACTTTTGTTTTTTTTTCCCTTGAATGGTAGCTCCTGTTTGGAGTTTTCATTTCCTGCTCTTGGTTCTCACATTTTCAGAGATGCAGTTTGTCCAACTCTGATTGCCCAGTAGACCTCTCTGTTTGGATATTTCACAGGCACCTCTAAGGCAATGTGTCCTAGGTGGAATTCTCTACCTGCCTCCCTCAAACGAACCATTTTCTCCCTCAGTGTTCTATAGTCAGAAGTCATTCTTGACTTCTTCCTCTCCTCCCAAGCTGTTCCCAAGTCCAGTTTTACTTCTGAAATATTTTTTTGTCCCCTTCTGAGATACTGTTTACTTAGTAGTAACAATGGCCATATTTAAAAATTTTTTCCTTAATCTTGAAAAACACAGATCTGATCATGCTTTTGGAATAAAGTTCACAATCCTTATTATGGCCCCACATGATTATGATTTCTCCCTTCCCTGCCCTCTGATATTTATTTTCTTCCACACAAGCCACACTGGCTTCCCTTCTTCTTTGGTTCCCCTTTCTTCCTAGCTCAGTGGTTCTCAATTGGGACTCCTGCCTTTTTCGTTTTTGGGTTTTTTTTTTTTTAATGACAAATACATTGTAACATCTGTTTCATTATCCTCAAAATGAATTCAATGGTCATATACTCCACCTACACATAATTGCCGAAATAAATTTAAAATTAGTTAACATTAACATAAAAGGGAAATAAAAGGCACATTACTTGGGCACAACTATGTTAGAAGACCTAGTCAGATGTTTATACCTAATGTGTAAATTTAAAAGAAGGTAGAAAATCAAAACTGATTTTATACAAAGAAGTATAAGAAAATGAAAAAGCAGGGAAAGGAGTGGACCTTAGAATAAAACTAGTGATGCATAACTTGTTTGCATATGATAGTACTTAAGAAATATCGAAATAGAATGTTAATTGAAATAAACATATTATGCAAGGAAATCTACAGATTGTCGAGATGGAGAAAATGAGGAAATACAGTATTTTTTGCAGACGAGCTGTAGGTTATACAAGAATGTCTAGCGAGACATTCAAAATTCGTATAGGGTGCACAGTAGTAGTTTCTTACTGTGAGGAACTGTCCAGAATACTGTAAGATGTTCCGCCTACTTGGCTCTCATGTACTCAATGCCAATAGCACCCTCTCTTCCCCTCCACTTATGGTGGCAACTATAAACCCTAGCAGATCTTTTCACCCTTTTCAGAGCAATAACATTTTGTCACATCTCCTTTGTTGGCCTGAGAGGAATCGTAGGGAATACAGTCTACTTACACACATGGATTTCTTTAAGAACCAATTTAATGCCCCAACTCTATTATAATGGAGAAATAGAAGGAAAGAAATTTGTAATGACAATAAAATGAGTTTCAATATGTAAATGCTCAGGCATGACTATTCTATACGACATCATGAAGTAGATACTTACCCCTACTTACAATGAATGGGTTGGAGTTTCAGAGTTGTCCAGAGGCTACTTCCTACAAAGAAGTACTGGGAAATGAAAGATTTAGAGGTATGTGTGAGCGTAGGATGAAAACAAGTGTTAGGGTAAGTCGTAACAGACCATATATCTTATCTGTAAGAAACAGAGCGAAATTGCCTTAACTGAAATAAGGATAACGGACTGCCTAAGAGGAAAAAATGAATGATATTCTCTCAGGCGAGCTGTAGGTCCTACATAAATGTCCAGTAGGACGTTAAAAAGTCGTATAGGATACCGAATAATTCTTCTTTGTGTGGGACTAACCCATCTACTGCAGACATGCGTTCTCCCTGGCGGCATCCACTCAATGCCAGGAATAGTTCCCAATAATTATGAAACCAACATCCTATCAATTTCTAAAATCCCACCGTGAGAACCACTGACTTAGTTCATGTCTTAGTATCCTCAGATCAGTTTACTATTCCCTCCATAAGGAGTCTTCTACATTAGATGAGATGCTTGCTTCCCAAACCCCCAGGTTTTAAAAGTCTTTGTGCCTTTCTTTGTTCATTTTTAGCATCTGTCTAAAAAGCAGTTATCTACTTTCTGTATTAGAATGTAAGCTCCTTGAGGGCCGAGTCAACCCGTCTTATTTACTGTGCCATACCTGATACTTGCCTGAATGCTTGATTGGCTGATACCTCGGATGCCTTTTGTTGAATAAAGTAAGCTCAACTATTTATATTTCAGTAGTTCAGTTGTATTTCTTCTTCTTCAAGCTTAATTCTAGACTATCCAATAAAGAGAAATATTAATTTTGCTCTGCTGCCTGAATTTGCTATATTTATTTCTAGGTATCTCCAAAAATATAATCAGCTGCACACACTAAGTTATTCGATGGGGGGTAGATGTTTGTCCCTTCTTGCTTTTTCGTTCCAGGACTTGATGACCAGGGAGCTGTCAGGATAATGCCAAGGAAAGGCAGGTGGTGGTGATGGACAAGCCCACAGTTGGTTGGCACATCTTCTGTCTAGGGGCTTAGAGAAGGAGGCGGAAACTGCGAATATACTTTTCTTGGTCTCAGGGGCGGGAACACAGCCTGGCTGAACCCAAAAGTTAAAAATATAAATGGTTATTGGCAGAATTGTCTTATCAGTCCCTCCTTTAAAAGCTCTTCTCCACTCATTCTTTTTTTTTTTTTTTTTTTTTTTTTTTTTTAAGTTTATTATTTTGAGGGGGGAAGGGGCAGAGAGATAGAATCCCAAGCAGGCTGTTAGCACAGACCCTGACGCAGGGCTTGATCTGACGAACCGTGAGATCATGACCTGGGCTGAAATCAAGAGGTGCTTAACCGACTGAGCCACCCAGGTGCCCCCTCCACTCATTCTTTTTTGATTACAAAGGTTGGATGGAAAGAAAGAGGAAGAAAATCCCTATATGGCAGCAGAAATTTTTTATTTAAAAAAATTTTTTTTAATGTTTATTTATTTTTGAGAAAGAGCGAGAGCATGAGCGGGGGAGGGCAGGGGGTGGGGGGAGACACAGACTCTGAAGCAGGCTTCAGGCTCTGAGCTGTCAGCACGGAGCCCAACATGGGGCTTGAACCCATGAACTGTGAGAACCTGAGCTGAAGTCAGACGCCTAACCGACTGAGCCACCAGAAGTTTGATTAAAGTGAAGGGAAACCCATTTGATTTGTATCCCAAGGTAAATGAAACAATGTGTGGCCAACCCATTGCTGTCAAAGCACCCACATTCAAATGCACAAAAATACTAGCAAAACCAAGCATGGGCAGATTTGGTCTTTTCTAGTTAGTTATTTCTTTATTTGCTTTGTCATAGAAGGTTCCCCGTTTTTCAGAAATGATTATTTGAGAAGATGTTATTTAAAGTCTTAATTTTTGGTCCTGCAGTTGGGAAGAGGTGCCGTTATTTGATTTCTGTGGTGGAACTCAGTCCAGCATTTGGTGGGAGGAGAGCTAGGGAGCAAGCAGTTCAGAGTCCTGCCTTGGCTACCGTAAAGATAATTCCCATAAAGGGCCAGCAAAGATAATTACCATAAAGGGTCAGCGATGCTCAATGCTAAAGGCGCAGAGAACCACCGGGACCATGTTGAAGGACGTGGCTGGGAAGGAGCAGGGAATAACAGGCAGGTTTCAGTGAGAAGGTTCTAACAGTGATATTAGTGCATGCCCTTGGAGTGACTTGTTCAAAAATCTGTGCTAGACAAGTGTGCCTGGAGCGGGCAGCCGTTTGAGAAAAAGCTTCAGAATCTGGGTTGGAGGACGTATCACCTTACAAGGAACCACCTGAATCCTAGAAAGTTAAATCCTAAAATACCACCTGAATCTCAACCCTCTGTGTTTCTCTTTTCCATTCTCTGGTCAGTCTTCTTGTCCTCTTCAGCCCTTTCCTGATGTCTCTCCCTTTGTGCCCCAAAACTCTACATTCCCCAATAGTCTGCTCTGGGATCTTTGGTTTGTTTTTTTTTTTCCTTTACACTCTTACCCAGGAATCTCATTTATTCCCATACTTTAGTTATCACACCACTTCTGATTCCAGAATCCATACCTTTGCTGAGGAGTCAAATAACTTACCCAGAGTTTCACAGTTAATGAGTTAACAGACCAGCATTCCGAACCCCTGGAGTCTAGCTCCAGAACCCACATGTTAACCACTCTGCTAGGCTTCCTCTCTAAGGAACAGTCCCTACCCTTCCCTTTGACGTTCCACCTCTCTCCCCCTTCAACCATTCATTGTGGACAACACAGCCAACACTCCTAGCCTTAGATCCTCATAATCTCTTTTTCTTCAACATCTTCACACTTCAGGCATCAACATCCATTGCCCTCCTGCCGCTAGTCAGAATTGCTCTTCTGAGATTGTAAACTTTTTTAAAAGTTTATTTATTTTTGAGAGAGCGAGCAGGGTGGGGCAGAGGGAGAGGGAGTAAGAGAGACTCCCAAGCAGGCATGATCATCATGGAGTTGAAGTTGGAGCTCGAACTCCCGAACTGTTGAGATCATGACCTGAGCCGAAACCAAGAGTCGGATGCTTACCTGACTGAGCCATCCAGGCGCCCCTGATGTTGTAAACTTGTATAACCTACCTCTGCTGTGGCCTTTAGCTCTCACATTCCCTACACACATGCCGCCCCTTCCCCTTCAGCACCTGGCCACTCCTTCGGTGAATACTTTCAGTCACCTAGAACCTTTGACTTTATGTCCCATCCATTTGGCAAACCTAGCAATGGATTCGTCAAATTCTGTTTCTATAAACATTGAGTAGTTTCGTTTTTATTTACTTATTTTTAATATTGGGTACTTTTAGAGAGAATTGCAGAGCTGTTTGGATTAACACCACTACGTACACCTGGTATTCAACTTTGGCAAAGCCCTCTCATGGGCCACCTGCCCTCTGCTCGGCCCTCGTTCCCCCAACCCCACAGGACAGCTTTGTTAAACCTTCGCTAGCCTCCTCACGTGACTCCTCCCCCCCCCATTCTCAGTCTTCTACTTAACAACAACACAAATGGCTATTAGACCTTTTCTCCTTCATCTTAAGCCTACAAACTTGTCTTTTTATATACTCGTCCTTGCTTCTTTTCCTCTTGTCTGTGGAAGAGGGTTTTCTTCTTCCGTCTTAGGTTAATTCTTCCCATGTCCTGTCCTCTCCCACTGCCTTATGAAAATCACCCACTGAATTATTCTTCTCAGCCAAATTTCAACGTTCCCTTCTTTTTTTTTTTTTTTTCCAACGTTTTATTTATTTTTGGGACAGAGAGAGACAGAGCATGAACGGCGGAGGGGCAGAGAGAGACGGAGACACAGAATCGGAAACAGGCTCCAGGCTCTGAGCTGTCAGCCCAGAGCCCGACACGGGGCTCGAACTCACGGACCGCGAGATCGTGACCTGGCTGAAGTCGGACGCTTAACCGACTGCGCCACCCAGGCGCCCCTCAACGTTGCCTTCTTATTGGCTCTGTTCACTTGGCATAGAACTACGCTTGCCTCTCCTATAATAAAACACCTCCCTCCATCTTACGTCTGCCTCTAATTATTATTTTATCACTACCTTATTTTTTCAGATAACTTATTTTAAAAAGTTGGACTTTCCCATGGAGCACCTGGGTGGCTCGGTTGAGTGCCGACTCTTGGTTTCAGCTCAGGTCAAGATCCCAGAGGTGTGGGATAGAGCCCCACTTGGGATTCTCTCTCTCCCTCTGCCCCTCTCCCCCACTCAGGTTCTTTCTCTAAAAGACAAAAAGTTGGATTTTCTCATTTTTCTTTTTATTCTTAGCCTACAGAATTCTGCCTTTTCTCATTATACCTCTGGAATAAACTTGCCTAGTTTATCAACACTCTCGTAGGGAAATTCCCTGCAGCATTTTATAATGCTGACCACCTCCTCCTTGAAACTTTCTCCTCTGTGTCCATGAATGAATCTCATTTTTCTCTAGGCTCCCTTTATCGGTTTCTATCTTAGGCTGGCTTCCTCGGAAGAAAATAGAAAAGGATTGTATGCAAGGAGATTATTTGGGAGGTGATTCCAAGAAACACTGGTAGAGAAGTGGGGAGGTGAGTCAGGGAAAGGAAGGCAATATAGGGCATGTTAATGAGCAGGTTACAGCCGTGGGCAACTGGGGCTCAGTGCCACTGACAAACCTTTGGGAGACTATGGAATATACACTTTGAAATTGTTCCACCTGAGGAACAATGCCCTGGGATATTTAGCCACTATCTGGTAGGAAAAAACTCTTCTTTATCCTCTTAGGTTCAATTTCTGGAGTGTGAATTTAACTGACAACAGACAGATTAACAGGAGTGAAGGGGGGGGGGAGTTCATCACGCGCATATGGAAACAAAGGGACTCCCTAAACTGTTAAAGATTATGGTTTATGTACCTAAATTAATAGGGGAGAGGGAGAGGAGAGAAAAGCCTTCTGTGGGAAGAACAAATGGTTTCCAGAGGAACAAACGAGATATGGAAGTTTGTGATAATGTTTGTTTATGCAGGTGCCAGTGATCTCTGTTTTATTTTATTTTATTTTATTTTTCCTCATGGCCATGAAACTTGCCCAGAGAGAGGATCTATGGCAGCCTCACTTCGAGCAGTTTCTGGCTTTTGTGAAATAAGGGAAGCTCCAAGAAGGCTTCTTTCTACATCTGCTGAATCTCAAATTGTCTTTAGTTTAAAATAACCTTCCTACCAACTCTGGGGGTCTGAGTGGGCCCCCACCCCACTCATTCCCTAACATCACTAGTCGAGGGTTCTTCCTGGAGCGTTGATGCCTTGGCAATTCCAGCCTTCCTCAACAGCCGGCAAGCTTGCTCCTTCTGGAGAACAAAGACCTTATGCAGACAGTCCAGGTGCAGATGTAGTCAAAAGACCCAGGTGAGGCAGGAAGAGCTACTTCCGCCTTCCTTAGGATTTTTCTCTTCCTCCACTTGCCTCTCTAATGTCGCTATAATAGAAGGCTCTATCCTCCCATGCTTGCTTTACACACTTTCCATTTTGCGGAGAGAGCTTATCGACTCTCGCCGTTTCAATGACCTAATAATCTGATGTCACTCAAGTTTATATTCCCTGCATCTTTTGGAAACTCTAGACCTGTGCCTACAATACAACTGCCTACTGAGCCTCTTACCTTGGATTGTCCACTGCAATCCCAACACAATGAAGACTGAAGTTACAGTCCCTCAAATCCTCTTCGGTTATTCCTTATCTTGCCCTGCTCTTCTAGAAATCCATTCTTCTCACGCCTACCAGGGATCTTTCTGAAACACCTCTCCTAAGTATGGCCAGGCCCTGTTTTTTAAGTTTATGGACAGAGCAATGAACAGGACAAAACAGATTGCCTACTTTCGCGTGCTTGAATTCTACAAATACAGAAATAAGAAGAGACACGATCAGTGGTAAGTTCCGCGTGGAGAGGTCAAGAAAGGTCTTGCTGAAGACGTGTCATTTAAGCTCAGAGATGAAAGGCAGAAAGGATACATCTAGAGCAGGAGAAACATTCTGCGCAGAGGGATCCTGCCACTTCCAGCTGAAATTCCTTTAATCGCTTCCCAACGTCTTCAGGATAGAAGTCCAAATTTCTAAGCATGGCAGAGAAGGTCTTCTGGCCTCTTGCCAGTCAGTCACCTTCCTCTTATGTTCTTTACATTACATGCCATCGACTCGTTTAATCCCCACAACCACCCTGTAAGAGAGCTGGTTGAGTTCCTCTGTTAGGTCTTAGGTGTCTCTGTTTTCTGTCACAGCATGAGCGGTTGCTCAAAAGCTGTTCATTAAATGAGCAAGCTGTTGGGCAGAAAGGATAGCTGCTTCCATTTATTCATTTTTAATTTACATCCAAGTTGGTTAGCATATAGTGTGATAATGTTTCCCAGAGTAGATTCCAGTGATTCATCCCCTGTGTATAACACCCAGTGCTCATCCCAACAAGTGTCCTCCTTAATACCCCTTACCCATTTAGCCCATCTCCCCCCCCCCCCCCCCCCCCCCCCAGCCCCTCCAGCAACCCTCAGTTTGTTCTCTGTATTTAAGAGTCTCTTATGTTGGGGCACCTGGGTGGCTCAGTGGGTTGAGCATCCGACTTCAGCTCAGGTCATGATCTCACGATTCGTGAGCCCGAGCCCCGTGTTGGGCTCTGTGCTAACAGCTCCTGGCCTAGAGCCTGTTTCAGATTCTGTGTCTCCCTCTCTCTCTGTGCCTTCCCTGCTCGCACTGTCTGTCTCTGTCTCAAAAATAAACAAACATTAAAAAAAAAAAAGTCTTATGTTTTGCCCCCCTCCCTGTTTTTATATTCTTTTTGCTTCCCTTCCCTTATGTTCATCTGTTGTGTGTTAAATTCCTCATATGAGTGCAGTCTTATGATATTTGTCTTTCTCTAACTAATTTTGCTTAGCATAATCCCCTCCAGTTCCATCCACATAGTTGCAAATGGCAAGACTTCATTCTTTTTGATTGCCGAGTAATACTCCACTGTATATATAAACCATATCTTCTTTATCCATTCATCTGTCGATGGACATTTGAGCTCTTTCCATACTTTGGCTAATGTTGATAGTGCTGCTATAAACATTGAGGTACATGTGCCCCTTTGAAACAGCATACCTGTATCCCTTGCATATATACCTAGTAGTGCAATTGCTGGGTGCTAGGGTAGTTCTCTTTTTAACTTTTTGAGGAACCTCCATACCATTTTCCAGAGCAGTTGCACCAGCTTGCATTCCCACCAGCAATGCAAAAGAGATCTCTTTCCGCATCCTCGCCAACAAGGATAGCTGCTTCGTAGACGTACAGGTCTAGACTGGTGTGGTCCAACGACAATAAAGTGAGCCCCACATGTAATTTAAAATTTGCTCGGAGCTACATCAGAAAAGTC